GAACTGCAGACTAACAACAGTCTGAAGGAAGCTTTTAACTACATACTTTCCTCAGAGATTAATTAAGTATTCTGATTTTGATTGACTCTGATAAATTCATGGACTTCTAGAGTTATTTCAGAGTTTTGAGAATAAAAGACTTTTAGGTGGAAATATAGCTTTATATATCTTTTACCTGCTGCCAGGATGAACTGACCATCCCGGGACACTTTGATGGAGGTGCACACTGTGGGCATCTCAAAGTCCTGGATGAGTTCAATCCTGCGCTGAATTTCTGAGTAATGCAAAGAACAGAAGCGTGTGAGTAAAGACAAACATTTAGAAGGAAATCAATCCGTGTGTGAAACTGTAATTATAGCTGTCAACTCACCGACATCTTTCTTTTGCAACTGTCTCTTCTTCCTGTCCGACAGCCACTGTGTTAACAACACAAAGGTGATCACGATTTAGCATAAAGAATAACATTCAACAACACAACTGCTTCCTCTTCTCTTAGTTTGATGGCAGGTCACAAAAATAAAGCTACATAGAAGGTAAAAAAGGTAACCTAAATAGTTAACAGGGTCAACAGTAAGAAAGCTCTCAAATGGAGCCGCAACTGTCAGGTGACATCAACGGTAACCCTTTAATAGAGAATCTGTCTCAGCGAGCAGACTGTCAGAAATTGAAAAAAGAAAACACAAGGACGCGGCTGTTTTGAATATGGAAAGAAGCATATGTATGGACTTAATCACCTTAAAAAAAGAGCAGTTAGTTATCTCAAAATCTGTTTTTCTCTCAATGAGCTTGACATCACCACTTAGACAACACCAACATCTCAGTTGTATTCCTTGTCTTTTACTGATTCCTGGTTGAGGCGGTCCGGCTGTATTTTGTTCTCAACATTTAGAAGAAAACTTAAAACAAGACTAAAGGTGGACTTTATTCATTGTATGCAGAAAGCATCCTAATCAGATACATTAACCGTTTCAACAGGCTCCCTTAATTAATGAGCATTTTATCTTATATTATGATCTTTTGTCTTTTTAATTTATCATTTGCTCAGTTTTACCACATTTTACTGTGTCTGTGGAGCACATTGATCTGCACTAACCTGCCTGAAAGATGCCTATAAATAAAGTTTGTAACTGCTAAATAGACATTTTAACGTTTTACCCAATTCTCATGTAGTATCTGAAATGTTAGACCTTTGATCCGTGATAATACCCAAATAATAACAACTATCGCTGCTGTAAATACAGATAAACTTTGATTAAATCTTCTGAGTATGACCTCATCTACGTCAGTGAACCTCTTCCAAGCAGCGGCAGATTTTTTCCATTTATTTATATGAATAATTTCATTAAATGGCGGTGTTAATAAGTATGAATTCAGCTATGACATTTCATTAATACAGTGTTAAGAACACTCATCTTACGGCTAGCTTGGTTAGCCGGCTATGGTGAAGGTAAGCAGTAACTTCACAGGTATGACATGAAGGACATCAGGAGCAGGAAGTGTGCTTCTTACCTCTGGAAGAGACTTCCCGTAGCTTAAATTGTAAATTTTGACATCATTCACGCTGGAAACCTGCATTGTAGAACGAGAGCATAACACTGATGCTGCTGCTACACACCGGTGAGCTGTGCTGAACCCACGTTGCTACTAGAGGAGCAAAAACAGGAAGTGGAGATGAGTTTAGAGAAACTGGGTCCGAGTAGAAACTGCACAGACTACACAAAGTTCCGAGAGGTTGAAAAACGACCAGTTAGCTACGTTGTTTTTCACTATTTAATACACATATATAGTTATTTTTTGTATGTATCATATACCTGTTTTAACTAGCTGTGTTTAATTTAAAATGTAGTTTAACTTTAGGTAAAAATAGACAACAAAACAAAACAAAAACAGAGCATTATAAATAATTGTATAATGTATGTATTGTGACTGTAAGCCCAACAAGGGACAATGGTTGAAAATTAGCAATAGCTATAAACTTATGTGCGTTACATCAGTTTTGTGTTTTGTAATTGGACTATGTTAAACTTCACTGTCCCTTTTTAAATAAATAAAACAATAGCGTATAGCGAAAGGGTTCTTCCTGTTTGTTGTTGGTAAATAACAAACTGCTGGATTCAAAAGAAAGAGAAAGCCCAGTCACATTCTCCTGTATTTTGCTGCCCTGTTATGAATAATGTATTCAGTAAAGTATTCAAAGGAGGATGTCTGTGTAGGTTCTCAGTCATCCAGGCCATGGTAATCTAAGGAGCTTGGAAAGAAAACACTTAAGGAAGTCCAGTCGTTTTTCTTTCCAAGCTCCTTAGATTATTCAAAGGAAGGATGTCCAGAAGATGAAGAAAGAAGACATGTGTACTAGGAACCTAGGTACAACAAATAGAGAGGTAGTGAAGCCAAAGGAAATGGCTTACAGTGAGGTTAGGTTGGACACTAAAGAAGGAGACAATTTATAATGATTGGCTAAAGGCAGCAAGACCAATTTGAAAAGAATGTGCAACAGGTTGGAGTGATTAAGGACAGAGATGGAAATGTACTACATGTACAAAAATGTACTACACAGGGATAACGCTGATGAACCATACCACGGATATATGGGAAAGAGTTGCTGAAACAAGCTGAAGAAGAGAGGTGATGATCAATGAGCAGCAGTATGGCTTCCTGCTGAATAAAATCACTACAGATTTAATGTTTGCTTTGAGAGTGTTGAAGGAGAAGTATAGAAAAGGCCATAAGGAGTTGCATTGTTTCTTTATCGATCTACATAAATAATATGATAGGATGCTAAGAGCAGAACTGTGGTACTGCACGAGGAAGCCAGAAGTGTCAGAGAAGTATGTGAGGGTGATGCAGGACATGTATGAGGACAGTGACACTGTGGTTAGGTGTGCGGGGTGACAGATGGGTTCAAGATGGAGGTGGGATTACATCAGGGATTGGCTCTGAGCCCATTCTTGTTTGCGGTGGTGATGGACAGGCTGACAGATGAGGTCAGGCAGGGGTCTCCATGGACTATGATGTTAGAAGACAACATTGTGATCTGTAGTGAGAGCAGGTGGGAAAGAGTCTGGAGATTTGCAGTTATCCTCTGATTGGAAGAGGAATGAAAGTCAGTAAAAGCAAGACAGAATATATGTGTGAATGAGAGGGAGACAGGTAAGAAGGAGAAGCTGCTATAAGTAGAGGTAGAGAAGGTGTACAAGTGAAATACCTGGGGTCAATTCAAAGCAATGGACAGTGCAAGAGAGAGGTAAAGAAGAGAGACAGGCAGGGATGAGTGGGTGGAGATGAGTGTCAGGGGTAATTTGTGACAGAAGAATAGCAGCAAGAGTGAAAGAAAAAGTTTCCAAGATGGTAATGAGACCTGCTGTGATGTAAGGTTTGGAGATGGTGGTACTAACAAAAAGACAGGAGGTGGCAGATCTGTTTCCATTGAGAGTGATCAGAATGAAAAAGATTGGAAATGAGTACATCAGCGGAACAACTTAGGTTGACTATTTTGGAGATAAAGTTAGAGTCGAGATGAGGGGAAAAAAAGCTATAAATAGATATAAATTATGTTAAGTTTAATCCAATGTCTTCAAATCCGAGTCTTGATAATAGTTTATTGTTTTATACTCCTTCTTATACATCCCAGTTTCTCCTTTCCTTCCATTTCTGTGAAACCATCATCCTTTTCTTACCTATTTCCCTTTGCTATCGCCATGTTTCCTTCAATTTCTACTTGATTATATTGTTGACTTCTGTCTGAAGCTGAAAACTAAATCAATGAAAATGCTTTTTATGGCTCCTTAGCTGGAGTTTCATTTCCTTTAATGCCAAAATGTACAATCTCATAAAAATCTAGCTGTAGAGCAAAGAGTCCAGCATGTAGACTCTTTGTTTTTATAAGAGTTTAAGCACATTTCACATTTCAGTTGAATATTGTAGCCTATTTTATTCTTATTCTTCTTTTCTTATTCTTCTTATAGTTTTCATTTATAATTATACATATCTAAATTATTATTTTTGCTAAATGAAATGTGATATGTTCATTGAACAGAAGTGGTCGGGTCGTTTATTTAACAGCGCTCCAGTGTTCAGGCTAATGGGCTATTTCACATATACAATTGGAGCGTATCATTTAAATGTTTTTAATAACATTGGCATTTTGTCCAAATTAAAAATGAGCTTGAAGAGGTTTATTTGTGAGTTTATTGTCTGAGGCTCTTGAATACTTGCCTTTATATCCTCTTCCTTATATTTTTCCTCTTTTATCTTATCATGGGTGGAACTTTGAATGTTGCTTCAGTGTTTTGGGGTTTATTGTAATGCAGTAAATAACGGTTGGCTTCATTTTGGAGGATGAGAAAGATAACAATATTTTTCAAATCTTACAAAGGAAAAAAAAATTCATCAACTGACTCAAAGACTGTATGCAGTGATTAGATTTCTGATTTATGTTTCTGGTAAGTACTTCAGCTTTTTACCTCCACTCTATATATAAGCCAAACTTCTGTTGTGAAATTAGAAATATGTCCAAGAGATTATACAGAGATTATTTGTTGGCATCAAAAAGATCATACCATTCTTGAACCGTCCGATTCATTTTAATCAGAGCTTTATGTTTATCTTTACGAATTGGACTTATGTTCTTCGCGCTCATCGATCTATTAGTCAGCTTATCCACACAAACACACACAAAAATAGCGACTATTTTGTTTTGTGCTCAGATCACCTGGAGTGATGTAACTGCTTCTGGTGACAGACAGCAGAGGACAGTGGGCTGGCTGTCAGCCAGTCTCAGGTGGAGCTGCTGCTCAGACTCTCCAACACTCACACGGGGACAGGCACAGCACGGTCATGAAGATAACCTGAAGGTAAGCCTCTGCTCTGAAAAGAGGTTCCTCTTTCCTTTATTGCATTATCAAGGCAAGAGCTGAAAGAACAAAATCCTGAGCACAGGTGAATCATGCCATTTTACAAATCTGCCTTAGAATAAGACTCTACATATTTCAGTGGTAAAGTTCATGTTATTACAAGTTTGTCTGCTCAGGATCACAGTTTGGTGCCAAAGGCAGTACCTGTGGGAAGTCATGACGGACTTTTGGCTGATTTCTGTTCCACTGGACAAAACAAGTTTAACCAGTGTAGAGAAACTCAAGCGCACCATTGCCAAAACCAACCTGGCCTCCTCCTGCTGCAAGTTCTCCATTCCAGATCTTAAGGTGAGGATGTGCATCATCTGAATGATAAAAAAATGATATTGTGTCTCAGCGCTAACAAAAACAAAGAGTAAGTGGCGTGAGTGTGTGTTAGCTCTGTGTTTGTAGCAGTACAGGAGAGTGATGGTGTTTGGTGTCTTTCTCTGATGAAGAGGTAAAGGCTCAGGTTGCTCTCTACAGTTTGAGGCAAAATTTCCATCTGAATCGTTTCACTCAATGTGATCAATGAGCATCTTGTCTTCCAGGAAACGCATTTCCGTATCATCAAGAGTTCAGACATTAAGCAGCTTTAGATGTAGTGATTGTAAATGCAAGGTCTTATGAAGTCAGATTTATTAAACGCAGGTTGCAGTAACATTAACTGTGCTGTGTGTGCCGTGACCTCAGGTGGGAGTACTGGACAGTCTGCTCAGCGTGTCAGATGATCTTTCCAAACTCGACACGCTGGCTGAAAGGTAAAAAAGCTGAATGTGCTGCTCTCAATCTGTTCCTGCTGATTAATGAATACGTTTGTCTCATTAATCATCGCATGTTTGCATTTTCATGTGCGGCTTTGTTCCTCATTAAGACCCAATGATTCTGAGCTCCTGTGCAGTCTGTGCCATGATTAATTGATGGTCAGGGGCAGCTATCGGTTAGTTTTCCCTCCTGCTTTTAAATTCACTGCTGGTGCATTTGAGCTGACACAGTGCAGACTTTAAAGAGACAGTTCACCCTAAAGTAAAATGAGTATTAAAGGTAAGAACTTAAACACAAAGAACCCCATAAATCCAACTAAAGTTAATCAGAGCTTTACTTAAATTTACTTATGTGACTGAAAAACATAAGGAAACAAACTGGGAAAAGCAGGACATGGGCCAGAAAAACAGATTTAAATGCTAGGAAAAGTGAAAATCATAACAAAACTTTAATTATGACAGCAGATACTTTTGACTAGTTGCATTAATTAAAACTATGAAACCTATAATTCACTACTAAGTAATTAATATCTTACTAGCGAAAACAGTAAGAATTTAATTATCAGTTTTTGTCTATTGAAAAGTAAAATCTCAAATATAAGAAATGCAGTTTGAGTTACATGGAAAACAGAACATGGAAAAAAACAAAACAAAAAAACACAAAGAGGTGTGAATGTCAGTGTTTTCAGGTGTTGAAATGTTGAATTGCACAATGAAAATGTAAGAAAGAACTTCATTAAGTAAAAAAGTAAGCATAACTTATGTTGCTGGTAAATGCAGCCATCTGCAACCCTGAAAACCCTGAGGATGGATGGATGGATGGACAGACCCTGGTGATGTCATCCACTGAAGTCTTAATATGAAGCGTGGAGCCCAGACTTTTTTGATATCATAATTTTGCCATTTAATTAAACAGTTGCACAAGCATTGAAAGAATCTGGATGTGACTGTATGTGTATTACTGCTTGCAGTGAATTCATAACATAAATAACCCTCCTATCTGATTCAAACAATTACAGTTACGTACCAAATAAAGACTTTAAACTAGCCATTAAGCCCATCAATTGATCAGGAAAGTGTTTAGATGAGAGTTGTGGACTGTTTTCCTATAGACGTTTATACTACCAGAAGCCTTTTGGCAGCCAGTGGACTCAGGCCTTGCTGGCCATTTGAAAGAATGCAGGTGCGAGGCACTTCCGTTTTGGCTTAATTTTCCAGACCTGGAAACTACGGCCATCTATAATAGAATCTAACAGGAACACTTCTCTGTGACGGTCTGTTTCTGACTTACTGAAGAATAGAAATATGACGTATAGGTAAGCAAGCGGGTGTCCTTGAAACACCTTAGCAAGATTTATGAACAACTAAGCTAAGTGAGCAAAATCATTGCTAAAACCGAGCTCACTCGAGCAACTGGTACACTTGCGAAACTATATAAGAGGCTTGAAAACAGGCAACAGGCAAACCAAGGACAGAAAACAGTTACGTCACACTTGAGGAGCTCTGGACAGTGTAGAGATCTGGACAGAGACAAGTTAGGCAAGCAAGCAAGCAGAGCATCAGGGGAAGTCTTTAATGCAAAAAGATTTCTTTAGTTTATTCCTTACTTTTTCTTCAGTCTGAGATGTTTCTACATCAGCAGTTCATTGTGCAGGAACTTTATGCAAAACATATAAACACTGTGTAATGATGGTGTTTCTCCTGTCGCCTGGTCAGTGTGATCAAAAAAACATGCCAGTGTATGAAGGAGGTGCTGGAGTCTAGTGACAAAGTGCTGGAAAATGCTTTGGCCAATGGAGGTGAGTCACACACAAACACACACGCTGAGAGTGTTAATTATCTCATAGAGAAACTGGATACAGGCCACATACACACTGCTATTAAGACTAACAGCTACTGAAAAACTCCATTAAAGGCCTGATGCTTTTACTGTAGACTAATGCTTGCAGGCTGTAGGAGAGAACAACAGCAGACCAGGCTAACCAGCATGTCTGATTACTCTCCCCCCATCAGACCACAGCAAGAACCAGAGAGCAGCCCTGTCACCCCTGAAAGCTTACCTCAAGTCTCTGAGGGGTATTTTATCTGCTCTTTGAGCTGGAGTGCAGTTCTGTGTGACTCCTATTATAAACCACATCTGTAGTATCTGCTTGATTTTTTTTTTTAAAGACATACCAAACCCTAGGTGTGTTTAAAGTTGTGTCATTTGGATACACAACTTGTGTTTTTTCCTCTCTCTCTTAGTTGACTTGATGAACTTCATGATCAAGTTTCAGTGGGACAAAGCAAAATATCCTACATCTCTAACTCTCTCCAGTCTGGCAGAAATCATCAACAAGGTACAAGCTCATAAAAAAGTGGGGATGATATTTAATGACATAAATATGACAGCAATTTATAACTAAACTCTTGTCAAGACACAAAAAACACAGCAAAGTCACAGTTCACATGCTAACATATTTACCTGTTAGCATACCTTCATATGCAGTTTTATATGACTGGGCGATGTTATAAAATGTTTACATTAGAAGTTACTTACATATTTTATTCATAATCTTAATGAACTGACTCACTTTTCTGATATTTGAAGCATAAAAGCAATCATTAGAAGTAAAATCCCAACACGAGGCTATAAATAAACCACAGCTAACGATCATCACAACAAACTCTTACATTTTCATATTTTCAAGCCAGAGTTACACTAGATATTGAACAACTCTTTACACAGTGTGTCACAGAAATCCTACTAATGGCAGAGTAAACTAGATTGTACTACTAGATTGTAATTTCACTACATTCAGTTACATTTAAAATGAATAAAGTAGTGCTGTTAGCTAACACGTTAACGAGATTGTAATTTCACTACATTCAGTTACATTTAAAATGAATAAAGTAGTGCTGTTAGCTAACACGTTAACGAGCTAACCACACTAATGCGTTGACGCCATGCAGCCCCACGCACGGGGCAATATGCGCTAACTCGCTAACGGAGACTTGCCATGTTAATGGGGTTATAGCGTTAACGTCATTTTAACGAGATTAACGCTGATATCAGTAGAATAAAGATAAACTTGCAGGTTACATTGTCTTAAAATTGTTTCTGTATTTAGTAAACGCATTACATATTTGATGTGTGTGCTGTTAAAGCTAAATACTACAAGGGAGAAAAAATACTCCTAAAATTGAAAGTGAGCACTACTTTTACAGCTTCTCCTGTTTAAGCTCTGTCCACCAGAACAAGTCACTGCTGATTTGTTCCTCCACTTCAAAGTCTTCTGTTTTTAACCATTTCCAACACTTTATTCTAATTATAAACTCTGAAAAGACGTTTGGCAAAAACCTCGCATTTCAGGCTAGCTTTTCCAAAGGCTGAAAGCAAATTCTGAAGCAGCTACATGATTCTAGTTCCCTCTCAGATGGCAGAAACATGTTGCCTACCCAAGTTTTAACACCTGCATGTGTTTCAGGAAGTTTCGCAGGTGGAGGCAGAGTTAAAATCACGTTCTGCAGCGTACAACAGTGTGAAAGCGAGCTTGCAAAACCTCGAGCACAAACTAGAGTGAGAAACATTAGTTATATTAAATAGAAATAAATCCCTACATTATCTATAGATATGCATGTTTACATATCTACATACTAAAGTGGAATTTCTGTCTTTGCAGTGGCAATTTACAAACTTGCAGTCTGAATGATGTCGTGAGGAAAGAAGACCTGGTGGTCTCAGAGTACCTCACCACTCTGCTGGTAGTGGTGGCCCGGTCAGTGACACAACATGACTATGTTTTTCTGGGATAGTCTTAATATTCAAATGTTTGTTTCTGCATATTTTCTGGTCACAGAGGGAGCTACTCGCAATGGGAGAGGAGTTACGAGTCGTTGTCAAAATTTGTGGTTCCGCGGTCGAGCAGGTGAGCTGTCTTTATGCACTCTTGGCCATGAGACAAACAATTCTACTCGATCCAAGTACAAGTGCACCGGTAGCTGCTCTCAGCATCCAAAAGGTCAGGCTAAGTAACCGCAGGTGTTTCATTACCGGCAGAAAGTAAGAGTCTTTTGGCCTGGATCTGCAGCAGCGAAAAGAAAATGTCTTTTTTGACAAGTAAAATGTTAAAGTTGACATGAAAAAAATAACTTTGTCATAGCTGACGTGCAGGAAATAATCCAATTTCTATAAAAAAAAATAATTTCATCCAAAACAGGAAGGGAAAATCGTGAGGGACATACCAAGTGACACAATACCAATGACAAAAATTGTATATGCATAAATAAATCGCAAGTTAATGTTTCAACTCAATGTAGGGTGTCTTCCTATCACTATTCCTATCATGTTTGTTAAAATTGTTACCAACATAGGACAATCTTGCCAGGAAGAGCCACTGGGGGGGCCAGCAAATTTTGGGAGGTGGCTAGTGCCCCCTTTGCCCCCCTTGGAGGCACCCCTGATCCAAGAAATCTACTTATCACTTGTAAGACACTCTTTTGTCAGTATAAGGCCTAGACAGCTAAATTGATAATTGTTTAACTTCTAGAAAATAATACTCCACATTCCATCTTAGTTTTTGTAACATTCATACACTTACTGGCCACTATATTAGGTACAACTTGTTGTACTGGTGTAGATTCAGCAAAATGCTGGAAATATTTCTCAGAGATTTTGGTCCATATTGACAGGACAGCATCACGCACATGCGTCAGATTTGTCAGCTAACATCCATGATGCAAAACCTCATTCCACCGCATCCCAAAGGTGCTCTATTTGATTGAGATCTGGTGACTGTGGAGGCCATTTGAGTACAGTGAACTCACTGTCATGCAAGCATTGGAAGCAGCCATCAGCAGATGGGTACACTGTGGTCATAAAGCAATGGACATGGTCAGCAACAGGTGTTCAGATGATACTCAGTTAGTTTGCCAAGATAATATCCCCCACACCATTACACCACCACCACAAGCCTGATGACAATGCAAGATGGATCCATGCTTTCATGTTGTTTATGCCAAATTCTGACCCTACTACTTGGTTTACCTAACAAAGTGGCCGATGAGTGTTTTTCTTACAGTGAACCTGATTTTGCCCATGTAAATCCTATAAACCTGCTATTACATTGTGATCAGTCTGTTAAGGACTCATGACAAATTCCATATAATTCAATTCAGCGTTATTTATATAGCGCCAACAGTTGCTTCAAGGCACTTTATATTGGCTTAATAAACACAGACTTGAAATGAACCTGCAGCAATAAGTTCAAATGCAAGTAAACACTACTTGACTTACTCCTTGTTGTCTTTTACCTTGTTGCTACATCTTTTCTATTGTTGTCTTATGTGACTGTCAGGAAGCTGTATGAGAACGGAGAGGGGGGAGTCTTCTCAGTGACACTTTTCAAAAGAGCTGTGTGTGAATTCAAAGCCAAAGCCCAGGAAAGCAAGTAAGCAGGATGGTGTGACAGAAAACACCCAATATAGTCAAATCTGTGTTGTCTGTTTGAATTACCAAAGTGTAGCCTCTGGTCCACACAGGTTCTTTGTGCGGGACTACAGCTTTGATCTGGAGGAGCAGAAACAGCGGGAGATTATGCAGCTTAGTTTTCACAAAAAGGAGCAATATGTGAGTCAAACATTACACACACTCTCTGAAGGTTTTTTTTTAATGTTGCGGTGTTTTATTAATGCGCTTCTCTCTTTCACAGGGAATCTTTGTACGCTGGCTGAAGGTGAATTTCAGTGAAGTGTTTGTTGCCTGGATTCACTTGAAAGCATTGCGGGTGTTTGTGGAATCAGTCCTGAGGTCGGCACCTGATGACAGTGATGATTTTTTTTTCGTGAAGAAGGCTCGCGATTGATTCATGTGATGATATTGCCTTTCAGGTATGGGTTACCTGTGAATTATCAGGCTCTTCTACTGCAGACTGACAGGAAGCACTCGAAGAAACTCAAAGAAGAACTCGCTTCACTGTTTGTGCATCTGGACCCCACCGCCAGCATTACTGATGTAAGGAGCCATAGTGTTATAATGTTGTCATTATATTAATGTAAAGCACAGACATACAGAAGATGGATGCACCAACATTAGTTGGAAAAGCCACAAATTGAGGGATTTAACTGACGACATCTTGTTCGTTGAAGCTGGGAGGGACCATATATGGATGAAAGCATGAAGTTGTCATCTAATGCTGGCCTCGTCAGTTGTGTGTTACATAGGTTTATCACACAGACACAGATATCTGAAAATTAGTGGAAGGAATGATCTGGGCCATTTTGTACGGTATTCATTGTGTTGTCTTTTGCAAACATACCCATGATACTTTCCTTAGTAAAAGATGAAATGTCCACCTTAATGTTGTTCTTTAAAAACAACTGTTAACACTAATGGGAAACATGGTGTATCCAAGTGAAGCTTTTGTGTGACTCAGTAAATCAAACAGAGCCTCAAAATTATGAGTTTGGGTAGAGTTAGGCAGCAAGGTGGCTCACAACAACTGTGGCCAGGTTAAATCAGCTTATCAAATAGATACGTAGGAGAATCTGATCTGCACTGTGTTACAGATGAGCTCATTTGCTGGGAGTGCTCGACTTGATGGCCTGCCTGAACTAATCCTGATAAACTAAAAATGAGCTTTTTGCAGGTAGACATTATTTAAAAATTTCAAACCTTATTTTTTTTCAACAATATGCAATCTCATAACAGTTGAATTATTTGCTATTTAATTTGATTGGAAACTTGCTGTAGTTTACTTTTTAAATAAGAGTGTTTCTACAAAAGTAGCACAGACAGAAGTATGAGATTTCATTTTTGAACAGTGGAACATTCGTAGTGTACTCTTGGACCCCTTTTAACTGTTGTAACAGCTTTTACTTTTCTGGGTTTGACTGTAAGCACTTTCCTCAATGTGCACAGTTATTTTGCTGCTTGGTGATGTAAAATGTTAATTTTTACCTGAACCTTTTCATGTAGCCTGTTTTTTTGTTTTTTTTTAAGTTAAAAATATTAAACATTTTGAAATCAAGACTCAAGCAACAACAAATAACTTAGAGCTAAATGTTTTCACAAATTAATTGTGCATGATGTGCATCTGCTGCAGGCAGGATTTGGATGCAAATGCAGAAACACAGGAGACAGGAATAAAGTCAAACACAGGTTTAATGCTGCACTCATACAAAATAGAAAATAAAAGCTGGACAGGAATGAGAAATACAATAACTAGTGAAACAGAGCAGGGCCACACACAGAACCATGAGGGAGAACAAAACGAAGACCCCACACAAATTGAAGGAATATGGATACAAGGTGATTAATGCAAACAAGAGACACCTGGGAGGACAGCTGAACCCAACTGAGGCAACGAGACAAGGGATGTGAAACTTAATACAAAGCACTAGAGACAAATAAGTAATAAAATAAAACAGGAAGTAACTAAACACGGGAACAAACTAAGAAATAAACTGAAGATATTTAACAACAGCAGAACCCAAATGACCAAAAAACGGCAAAAGACCCAAGAACATGACAGAATTATTGCAAATAGTTTATTGGGTAAAAATTGTATCGTTATATAAGACCAGTGACAGACCAACAAGTGAAGTGCTTTCCCAGATTGTTGATGTCTGAGTGAGGAAGAACCTGTCAGCAATCAGCAGGAAATAACATATCTCTCAGTCAAGTTCACTCGTGACCTTCGAGACAACAGAGAGAAAAAGGAAATAATAAAAACATACAAACTCAAGCTGAATTTAGTGAAACACTGCTGCTGGTTCAGTGTGTGCGTGACTGTTTTCTGTGTCTGATCTGCAAACAGGTGAGCTGTGACATCCCAGGACTCTGTCAGCAGGAGTACTTCTCCTACATCTGCTTTCATATCAGCACCAACGTGTTGGACATCAGCTAGCTGTCAACAGCAAGACTGAAAGAGCAAGCACCCACAAGCTGTGGTTTGTTCCCATTCAGTCACTCACAGCCAGAAACATAAAGACCCCGATCGCTAAAATAAAACCGGAGAATATAAATATATTGTTTTCAACATTTCCCTTAAAGGAGAAAGATGTAAGGTGTAAATACAGGAAGATGTAAATAATCCTTGGGTCGTCTTCACCACAAAGCAAGCTGCACGTGTCCTGTGTTTGTCATGTGCTGCACATGGAATTGTGGAAAACCTTAAAATATGTGTAATATCAGAGGGATTTTTTTTTTCAGGGATTCATTTTAAAACTATATGTACTGTAAATATTAATGTCGGTTTCAAACATTTTAGGTGAGCACATTATTTCTAGAAATCTTACAGCTTGCACAAATAAAATTGATTTCTTCATTCACCATTGCCTGTTATTCTGCAAGACAGCCTAGTACATTTAGAAATGCATTATCCAGAGAATGGATTCATGAATCTGTATAAAAACATCACTTGTGACCCAATTTAGATCAGAATGTTCATGTGTTGCAAGTCTCAAAATCTTAAAGTGGGGCCGTTCTGCTCATTTTCAACTCCATAGTGTTTTTCTGGATTCTGGAGATTATGTATCGGAATTTCAGGAGCGGGACCACGCCTCCAAACACGCTCCTTCCGGTTGTCATCTATATTTCCGGTTGTTCAGTGATGACGCGACGAATCCTACTTCCGGGTCTAAAGTAGTCTGCGTTTAATATGGCTTTTGTGTTGTTAACATGTTTAATGTTATGTATTTTCTTCTATTTGATCTCAAAAAGCTCCTAAATCAGTCAGTGATCACTGTTGACCTCCCTCGGCTTTTATTACCGCTAATCATTTATTTAAGCTCAGTTTTTAAAACCTTAGGATGTAACTACAGCCCAGCCCATGCAGCAGTATATGAATGACTAACCTCGTATTGTGGATGGATTATCTCAGTTGTTCTCCTGGCTGAAGTTTGGTCCTTTTACAGCATCCTGCCATGCGATTACATTTGTTCCTGACCACCGAGAACACTCACGTTAACTTTTATCGAGTGGAAAAAAAGTTAGCTTGTTTATATTATGCTAACATAGCTGTGTCGCTAGCGGTCACGTAGCACATCATTATATACCAGCTAGCCCAACTTCAGTAACCCTACAAACGTCACTGCTGTTTAGTTTTCTGTCTTCATTTATGTTGGAAGTGATAGCAGAGCTGTACGTTTTAATTTGTTTCCAAAACCCCGCAGTCAGGACATGCTATATTGTATTTAGATAGAAGCTAGCGAGCTAACTCCCTGCTAACTTCTAACTCCGTTAAATGTCATAAATTCCGTTTTCATGGATGCCTGGATGTTAAACTCAATTGTTACACCTGGTAGAGCAGAACGCTGATCATTTTATTAAAGATGAAAGACTTTAGACAGTTTTTCAACTCTCAGTAATGCCATAGTGATCGTTTGATATATGGACCTGCAGCGGAGTTTAGACCCAGACACGGCTAGTGACGGATTGGTTCCCCCCAGTTCAGCAAACTGTTCATTGTCGTTTACGTGCAAACAGGGTCCATTCTCGGCGAATACCTTTAAAAACAGCTCATCTTTTAGGAGTAATGTAATTTTACATTAATAACTACTCAAGCTCTGCATCCATCGCTTTTCCTCCGGCGGCGCTTCCAAAAAACCGAATGCTGAGGACCTTCTAGCAGTTTTCTCGCCACCCTACATACGGTCTGCTACATCCATCCATCCAGTCGGTTTATCTCCGCTAAATCCAGTCATGAAGTAACTCCGGCCGCCCGCCACTTCAGCGAAAACCAGCGAAGTCGCCCGCCAGCAGAACTCACAGCTCCTCTCATGTTGCTCCGAAACGGGTCACAGGCCAGGCAAGTTAGCCGCCAGCGCCGAATCCACGCTTCCAAACAAATCGCAGCTCCAACAGCTCCACCCACCCGCCAGCGCCAGGTAGCAGGGGGAAGCTCAGCTCTGTTCTCGTTCCCACTAACACCATTTAATGCAAGCTGGAAATCTGTCGCTAGCGCCATACTCTCAACTGTTCTCCATCGTCGTGATGTTTCCATCCCTCCTTTTGCTAAATGCTCATCCAAGTTGGCACTGGGTTGCCCAGTTCTTCCCTGTCCGCCATTCGCAAACGCAGCAGCAAGCTCCCTACCACTTAATTGCCAGTTTCTCAGGAAAGAACACACACACACACTCTCCGCAGCAAACGTGGGCAACGAGTTGCCAGGTTTGCAGCCACTCATCCCTCCTCTGCTAAACTTTGCAGCAAGCCTTGGCACCGAGTTGCCAGGTTCCCAAACTCTCATCTGCTGAACTCTGCAGCAAATGTTGGCACCGAGTTGCCAGGTTCTCGGCCACTCATACCTCCTCTGCTACAAGTTCTCGGCTACTCATCCCTCCTCTGCTACAGGTTCTCGGCCACTCAACCCTCTTCTGCTAAACTCTGCAGCAAACATCGCACTGGGTTGCCAGCCTCTCAGCCACTCATCCCTCCTCCGCAAAATTCTGCAACAAACCTGGCACAGAGTTGCCAGGTTCCCAACCTAAACTCTGCAGCAAACGTCAGCACTGAGTTGCCAGGTTCCCAACCTCTCATCTGCAAAGCTCTGCAAAACAGGCTCTCAGCCACCCATCCATCCTTCGCAAATTTCTGCACCGGGTTGCCAAGTTCCTTTGTCCTTCGTTCGCAAAAGCAGCAGCAAGCTTTTCGACCATCGGGTTGCCAGTTTCTCAGCATAGTTAAGGGCGGGAAAAAAGGGCACAGAGTTGCCAGTACTCCTTCCCTCCGTAGCAAATGCAGCATGCTTCGGGCACAGAGTTTCAAGGTTCACTGCCTCTTCCCTTCTCGGCTAAACTCCATAGCAAATGTCGGCACCGGGTTGCCAGGTTCCTTTATCCCTCATTCGTGAAAGCAGCAGCAGCTTTTCTACCATCGGATTGGCAGTTGTCTGCATAGACAAATAAATAAAAAGGCACCAGGTTGCCAGGTTTTTCTTCATCCCCCATTTGCATGCAGCATCTAGCTTCCCTACTACCGAACTGCCAGTTTCTCCACTTCTATCATTGCAAGCAGCAGCAAACCCTTCTAGCACAGTGGTGTTAGGTTCTTGCTATATCTGCCATGTGCAAACCGCAGTGACAAGCTTCTTACCCCTGAGTTGCCAGTTCCTGTCCATCCATCATGGCTAGAGAATCCTTCAAGCTGGTTCCTTCTATATCCATCATTCGTAATCACAGCAGCAATCTTCTTCCACCACGTTGCCAGTTTCTCTGCATCCATTATTGCAAAGCAGTAGTAAACCCTTCTGGCACCGAGATGCCAGGTTCTCTCTTTATCCCTCATTCGCAAATGCAGCAGCATGCTTTCTGCACCGCAATGCCAGTTTCGCTGCCATCTTTCCTGCCTTAGCAAAGGAAAGGTGAACCTTCGTGGTACCGAGATACCAGGTTCTGTCCTCTATCGCTCCTTTTAAGACATCCAAACTGCGTCGTGCACATAATTCTTCATGGCGTCCCTTCACTTCTCATGTGCTTTCACTAGCATCATCAGGCATTCACCCTCAACACAATCATTCGAGACTGCTCTCTAAGTCGACTCACGGTTCTGACTGCGTCTGAACGGCTTATCATCTCCCACGAAGTCCAGTGGACTCGCACTCTGCTCTCGGACGATTTTGGGGGTTATTATTATACGGATTATTTTCCTCTAATCAGTCTTTCAATTCATCAACTCTTCCCGAGCTGGTGCTGTCACTTCTGTTAATTCAGAAATCAGCTCAGTCGTTATTGCTAACTTATCTGAAGTAATTAACCAGCTAAGCACCCCTCTCCATCTTCTACTCAAAGACAAGCTCACAAGCTTTTCGAGCCACCAAGCCCTACCTCAAATCTCAAATCCAGCATTCTTCTCTGTCAGAGCTTCAGCTCAAAGTCAAGCCACGTCGCTACCTGATCAAAGGTTCCCCTCATTCATCCATTAAGTTTTCTGTTGTTTGCAACTTCCTTTGATCTCTTCTCCTGCCATTCCTTCCAAATTGTCCGAGCTCATCTACTCCACACCACGGAACGACGTTCGCTCTCCGTGTGCTCATCTTTGTCCTCTTCTCCTTCTCTCTCCCCAACCGGTTGCGGCAGATGGCCACTCCTCCCTGAGCCTAGTTCTGCCGGAGGTCTCTTCCTGTTAAAAGGGAGTTTTTCCTTCCCACTGTCGCCAAAAGTGCTTGCTCATAGGGGGTCATATGATTGTTGGATTTTCCTCTAGACATCATTGCAGGGTCTCGAGGCGTCTGTCACTGTGGCTCGGTGCTGTATAAATAAGTCGAATCGAAAAATCAAATTATTCCGCTGACATCTTCGACCTTCGTATCGCACAGTTATTACTGCTTCTAGGGGGTGCCTTCGTTGGGGATCTGCAAGGCCCAGGAGCCGTCGCCAGTCCCCTTCAAGGCAGCTCACCGCAGCTCAATTCATGTCCAAGCATTCACCTTTACCTACTAAAACGCTGTCAAACCTAAAATGACGACGTGGGCCCAGCTAGTGAAATAAAGTACTTTTGCATGATTCACAGTTCACACCTATGCTATATCAGGCCTTGGTGCAGCTTCTTAGATCCTCCCCCCTTTACAACTCCCCCTTTTTAAACCATCTTTTTTCTCACTCGTTGCCTTTCATAAATAGAAACTTTGAGAGCAGGTGAGTGAGGCTGCTGTGTTCAGAGCCAGATCTGTGTGCCTGAAATGACCATATTTGGAATTTCCCCTCAGTGATATCACACAAATACAAGGGTGAGAAAAGAGCTCCTTTTGCCATTCACTATGAATATCAACTACTGGAACTGTACATGTATCTAAAAACAATAAAGAAAAGCAAAACAGGTTCACTTTGAAAGTAGTCACCATGTTGTAACAACCCACAGGCAGGGATAGCTCAGTAGGTAGAGCGGTCAATATTCAGAGTAATATTTCTAATCAGTTTTTTTTTTAATTAGCCAGTATATTTTTTATAGTCTGTACAATCACCAGGTGGTGTTGCCAATTAAAGCAGTACTGACATTTTTGCAATAACAACATGCAGCGTGTGGAAAAACACTAATTCGGTTTTCTTAGGCTTTAAGGTGGGCTTGATCACTTGATCACAGCTGTGATCAAGTGCTTAACAGACATCTGCAGCCAACTCTGCTCAACAGCTGGAGACCAGTGGTGCATTTTCCAATACTATCATTCTATGGTTTACTAAGATTTCATATGCCCCAGTAGCAAATATGTGAAATGCAATATGCCAGCAATTGCTAAGATGCCAAGATATCCTAATGCATCTGGTTGCATTTAGCAGTGCACGCCCACAAGTTTTTCCTCTG